GCCCTAAAATGAAGCTGGATGATGTCTAATCATCCCGTACGATCTTGCGATTGGCCCGGACGAAATCACCATTAATTGCTTTCCAAAATTACCAAAGAAATTTTGGAAAAATTGTCCTGGATCGTCCTGGCCGATATTTTATAGTCCAGGCCGATCCACCAGGCCGATATCTAAAAATAAGAAATTCTTAAGTAGATCTGGCGGCAGATTATTTCTGAATTGAGCCTATCGTCCTGGCCGATACAAAATCGTCCAATACGATGTGTTTTGCATAATGATGGCTACTTTAATGAGGATGCTCTAAATAGGGTTTCTGCTTTTGAACAGATCGTCCAGGCCGATATAAATATCGTCCTGGACGATGTTACCAAAAACATAAACTCTTAGGGAATTGTCAGAAATCTTCCAAGTTATAAAGCATCAGGAGCCACACCAAATACAATAGACTCAAGAAAGGAAAAAGGGTACAAACTGACTCAGACCTAATCTACCCAATCTTGAGCTGGTTCCAAATTGCAGTCTAATTGTGTGAACCTGAAATGTTAGTAGATAAGGAAGTCGTAGAGAAAAAGAATGTTTGCTATCATCAAAATCATAAGCCTTAGATCCACAACAATCTCCCCCTTTTTGATGATGTCAAACATTTCAATTTGAATTTACTAAAAGGAACATTTTCTCCTAATCTCCCCCTCACTAGAATAACACTTTAAAAAAATAGGGGATATAAAAATATTTTTGATGTTTTAAAATCTTTTTAAAAAGAAAGAAAAAAAAGATACAAATTCAACAGTACGTTCTCCCCCTTTGACATTATCAAAATAGACGAGGCACAAACAAAAAACAAAACAAAAGGCAAAAAATGTTCCCTGATCTAGTCAAAAAACAAATATTCTTAAAATGAGAAAGTTACCTCTTAGTTTTAATCAAAAAACTTAGTAGAATTGGATTGACAACGCATAGCCCAGAAAAGGTTAGAAACTCAGAATTTGATAATCCAAACTCAAGTTCTTTAAAAAGGCTCAAAAAATTTTTAATCCAATATCCAATTCAAGGAATAAACGGGAAAAAGAAACATTAATTTTTCAAAACTCCTTTCATAAAACATATCTAATAGAAGATCAATGCACGAACTGCTGAATCAAGAACCAAGATTTTCAAGCACAAGTTTCGAGCATATCAAGGATTTTCTTAGGCTTTTAGTAGTATAAGAAAAAAAATAAGTATATTTTTTTTGTGGGCTCATTTTATGCCCTTTATCACTTGAATGGCTCAAATCCTTTGATTTTTAATACACTTTGTGTATTTTTTTAATTTGGCGTCATTGCGCATCTTTTGATTTGGCATCTTTGGCCACTTTTTTTTTATTTTCAAAAAATATGCTTTATTTCTTAAATTTTCAAAACTAAAGTAAATCCAAATTATTGACAACACGAACAACTTGATTAAGAAAATTTTAAGGTGGATTCAACAATCTTGCAAAAGATTCCTATGCGATAGAAAAAATGTAGGAAGATGAAAAAAGTTTCAAAATCCAATTTAAAATATGATGAAGATTTTAAATCAAAAGGAGAATAACCTTTTTTAGAAAATAGAGATTGAGAGTCAAAAACATGAGTTTCCTTTCATTGACTATTTTAGAGAAGTCAAACACAACTTACTAAAGATTTCAAGAAAAAATAGGAAGTAGATTTTTTATTTTTAGAAAAGTGAATGTGTGTGTTGATCAGAGAAAAAACTTTCATGAAAATGAAAATTTCAAAGAATAAACAAAACAAAAACATAAAATAAAAATAAAAAATATAAAAACAAAATCACAAAATAAAAATATAAAAGGCTTTTAACCATTATCTCTCTACTGGTCAGATGCTTCAGAAACCAGATCTGCCCATGAGATTTTTTGCATTTCATTATTTCCCCAGTTTAAATTTTGCTTCACCTTGCCCTTTTCTTTTGTAGGAAGAATTCTTAAATTAGGGCACTGATTTTCATATGTCGCTTCCTGCATCGAAAGCAAATAACGTCAAAATAAATATATACATCCTTACCACTTTTACCTTTTTTCCACTTTTGATTATGCTTTGGTGAGCTTTGTGATTTGCTTGTCAAGTTATTGCATTCGTCACCAACTAAGCTATCTCTTTCTATATCTTCAATTTTTAGAACAATCATTTCACCAGCATCCAAAAGTCTTTGACCCAAACCTTGCTCGTAGGCAATGAGTGAGCCAATCAAATTATCAATAGAATAATCATTCAAATCTTTTGATTCACAAATAGCAACTACTTTGGCATTAAACTTATCCAGTAGACAACGAAGAATTTTGTTAGCTTTTTCAAAATTTGAAAATTCTTTTCCTAAAGCATATAATGAGTTTACAAATTGAATGAATCTAGTATACATGTCTAAGATCGTTTCATAAGATTTTATGGAAAATAATTCAAAATCATGCATTAACAAATTCAACTTGAATTGCTTGATTTCATTCGTGCCTTCATATATGGTATGTAATTTATCCCAAACTTCCTTACCAGTAATGCATGTGGATACTAACATAAAATCATCAGAATTTAAAGCACAAAAAAAGCAATTTAAAGATTTTGCATTCAACTGAGCATTTACTTGTTCTTCTCTATTCCATAGATTAAAAGGAATATTAGTTTTAACTCCATTAACAATACATGACGGTGATGAATAACCAGTTAAAATCATATGCCACATGCAAAAATCAATCGATTGCAAGAAAATAGACATGCGAGTTTTCTAAAAATCAAATGACATATTTTCAAATAAAGGAGGTCTGGTGATTGAATAACCTTCCGCAATATTACGGTTAGCCATGGATCAAAAATTCAAAAGCTTTTAAAAACTTATTTTATGAACACTGCTCTGATACCACTTGAAGGTACTCAGATGACACTAGAAAGTGCTCTGAAAACACTTGAAAGTTTTTTAGGGATGAGCTCTTATAAATTGGTCCTAGGCTAATAATGAGATAAAGAGGTGAATCAATATTTAAAACAAACACAATCTTAAATCCAAAAAATAAGATTCACCACAATCAAAACCAACGATTCGGAAATTAAAAGTGCAGAAGTAATAAAGAAAGAACACACCAGATTTATAATGGTTCGGTCAAACCTTGACCTACGTCCAATCCTTGGAGGAACCCTCCAAGTATTGCTCTACAAAAGTGTCTCTCCTTTAGCCCCCACAACTAGGCGGAGAAGCCCTTACAAAATCACTTCCACCTTCCCCGGTGCGGCGGAGTCGCCGGGTCCTTTAACACCAAGAAGATCTTCTTCTTTGGTGAACTTCCCTCGAGGCAAGCCTTGAATCTGACAGTATTAAGGTGCAAGCCTACAGGAGAAATCGTGTGGAATCCCCCTCCACACTCCCTTGAGTCCCCCCTCACAGGTTCTTCTCCCTCTCTTAGACTTCACCCATTCCTCACTCCCTTTCAGGCTTTCTCTTCAAGTTTCTCCCACAAGAACGAAGCTACAATGGCTACCAAAGACACTTACAAAGTGCCTTGTCATCTCTTAAATAGAAGAGCTAAAAACAAGCTCATTAATGCAAGTTGCCGACATTATCGTCCAGGATGATAGACATATCATCATGGATGATTAGTTCAAATATGATGAAAATCATCCTGAATATCGCCCTAAAATGAAGCTGGAAGATGTCTAATCATCCCGGACGATCTTGCGATCGGCCCGGACAAAATTACCATTAATTGCTTTCCAAAATTTCCAAAGAAATTTTGGAAAAATTGTCCTGGATCGTTCTGGCCAATATTTTATAGTCCAGGCTAATCCACTAGACCGATATCCAAAAATAAGAAATTCTTAAGTAGATATGGCAACAGATTCTTTCTGAATTGAGCCTATTGTCCTGGCCGATTGGAAATCATCCAGGATGATGTGTTTTGCATAATGACGGCTGCTTTAATGAGGATGCCCTATTTAGGGTTTCTGCTTTTGGACAGATCGTCCAGGCCAATATAAATATCATCCTGGACGATGTTACCAAAAACATAAACTCTTAGGGAGCTGTTAGAAATCTTCTAAGTTACAAAGCATCAGGAGCCACACCAAATATAATAGACTGATTGTAGACATTTTGGATTCTGAGATTATGGATGTAATCAGATTGCTAGTTAATAACAAAGTTCCTTGATGCGATGGTATAACTTATTCTTTTTCGATGCTTATTGGAGTATTATAGGGAATGATGTGTGCAAAGCAGTGAGAAGATTTTTTTTTATAGAAAAAATGTACAAGGAATGAAGGACACTCTTGTTGTTCTTATTCCTAAAATAAATAATCCAGTTACTCCTTCTGGTTTTCATCCTATAAGCTTGTGTAACCCTATTTATAAAATTACGGCTAAGATTTTATTGAACAAGCTATTGTTGGTCGTTCCCAAGATTATTTCTGAAGAATAGGTAGCTCTTTTTAAAGGAAGATCTATATAGGATCATTTATTACTAGCTCAAGAGATGTTCTATAAGATCAGGATTTCCAAATCAAGCGATGGTATGGTGGCTATCAAGATGGACATGGAGCAAGCCTACGACAGCATGTGTTGGACTACTCTTAATAAGATGATGGTTCTCTTGGGCTTTCTTGAGAAGTTTGTAAACTTGTTAATGGAGTGCATTGTGGAACCAAGGTTTTCTATCCTAATCAATGGTGGGTTCTCCAAATAGATTGTGGGGAAGACTGGTTTCCATTAAGGTTGTCCACTCTCGCCTTTCCTTTTTATCACGTGTTCTCAATTGCTCTCTAATGCCTTTTCTAATGAAGGCAAGGATTTAGGTATTAGAATTGCTCCAAAGGTTCAAAAGATTTCTCATTTTCTTTACGTAGATGATGTCTTATTATTTTATGATGCTAAGCTAAAGAGTATTAAGAAATTGAAGAGAATTTTATGTGATTATTGTGGCTACACTGGTCAGAGATTGAATCCTCAAAAATCTACTATGATTTTTGGTAAAACAGTTGAGAGGAGAAGGAAGAAAAGGATTGCAAAAATTATGGGGATTAATATGGTTGATGAAATGGAGTATTTGGGAACCAAGATTGCTCTAAGGAGATTGAGAAAAGTTTATTTCCAAATTCTTTTGGATAGTTGTTTGAAGATATTAAATGCTTGGGGGAATAGATGCATTTCCCTTGTTGGAAGACTGGTTTTGGTGAAGATGGTTTTTATTAATCTTCCCTTATTTTTTATGCCTCATTCCCTTGTTCCTTTAAGTATATTGAAGGAATTTGAGAAACTTTATAGGAATTTTATTTGGAATAAGCATGATGGAAGTCATGGGATGCACTATGTGGCTTGGGAAGTGCTGTGCAAACCAAAAGCATTGGGTGGTTGGGGAATACAGTCAGCTGTGTCCAGCTTGGAACCGTTGAGGGCAAAGTTTGCATGGAAATTATTGGTTAATCCAACCTCCGGCAAACAAAAATTTATTGGCCAAATATGGTGATGGTTGGTGGAATGATGAGGCATTGAAGGGTGGTTCTTCAGCATGGAAGATCATTGCTATTGGTTGGAAGGCTCTTAGAAGTTTTGTTAGATGGAAAGTTGTGGTGGTTACAAATATAAATGTCCTTAAGGATGTTTGGATCATGGATAAAAATTTTCTCAAATGGCCCACTTTTGTTGCTAACTTTGAAGATGATAATACAACTCTTGACTTCTTCATTCAAGATGGTAAATGGAATTTTGTAAACTGCTTCTATTTTTTAGAGAGGATCTTGTTGTTTTGATTAGCAATATTCAGATTTGTCAAGAGTATGATGTGGACTTCATGGAGCTAAAAAATCAAATTTTTGGAAAATATATCTAGCTATGTTGAGGGAAGACGTCTTAAAGGAGCTAGTATATATGGAGCTTGCTTCATGGATTTACAAGTTGAACTTGAATGCTTTGGTAGAGTTGTTTATTTAGAGAATTTGCAAAGGTGCTTTACCTAAAGCTAATTATTTGATGAGAAGGAAGCTTGCTACCCGCAATTTTTGTCCAAGGGGATGTGGTGAGGTTGAAGATATAAATCATGTGACTACTATGTGCTCAAAATTGTTAAAGGTAATTGGAATATTGAGAAAATGGGGATTTATGGTTCCAAAAGTCATTTCTTTACAACAATGTTTGTATGAACTGAAATCAATATCTGGAAAGAATTCACTGATGGTGAAGATGTACTTCTCCTTGCTATGGTTTTCTTGGAGAAACAGAAATAAGTTAAAACATAGGAAGGTAGAAGATAGTGAAAAAGTGATTGCTTCCAACGTTCTTAGCTTTTTAAGTTTTTTTTTTTTCTTGAAGAAAATGCATAAAAATTGCATTAATAAGGAAAAGAAAACAAACTAAGAATTCACCATACTAGATTCCTCCTTTATAATATACATAAAAAGAGGAGGAATCTTATCTATGGTTACATCTTCCCAAACAAAAGAACTCATAATCCATAGTTAGCACAAAGATCTGCTAACTTATTACAATTTCTATCAACTAAATTAAAAACAATATGCTGAAATTCTTCATAAGGTTAACAACCATCATACCTCAATGGATCTTTATAATTTGTATTTTGCAAGTACGTTATCACATTAGCATTGTCTCCTTCAATTATAATGCCCTTGAACTTGAACATGCAATCCTTGATCACCTCTTTGAATGATTGAATAGCCAACATCTCCAAAGTTGCAATATCCCAATGAATATATGGTTAACCAAATGCCAAGGGAAATCTTACTTGATGATCACGTACCACACCACCAATTCCAGCTTTATAAGAAGGAAGAATGGAAGCATCCACATAGACCTTAAGCCAATCGGGTGGTGGGGGATACAAATGAGTATTGAACAGTCTAAATGACTGATTAGTATCCCATTTACCCGAGAAATTAATAGAACCTTGAGCCATAGTAGAAGAATAGCTCACAGCATTAGATCCATTGTTAAACGAGCAGATTTCATTATCATTGTGAATCAACTTGTTCCTAGATTTCCAAGTGAAGAAAACCACATTGCAATATAAATTGACCATAAAAGATCTTTCAAAAGATAACCAGTTGTTGCATTCAAGTAATGAATTGAAATCAAGAATATGAAATCCCCACTTATCCATTAGATGAAAAACTTCTTTCAGTTTTTTGCATCTAGCAACCACATGATTTAAGTCTTCATCTTCCATGCAATTTCTCGGGCAAAGACTGGAATTGAGCAGTCTTCTATGTTCCAAAAATTTGTATGTAGGAATGGCAACAATATAAATCCTCCACCAAAAATTCTCTACCCTTGGATTCAACTTGGCTTTTTTGATCCAACTCCAGTAATTTTGAGTACCCGACAGATTTACAGATTTTTGTATAATCATTGCATAAATTGATTTGCCACTCAATGGATTAATCAATTCCCTCTTGTCTTCCATAAAATCATTGTTAATCTTAACTTGAGAAATTAAGTTAACAAGATCATTTCCCATGTGGTTTCTAACAACATCCACATTCCATCTACCATCAATGATAAAATTTGAAACAAGAAATCTGCTATCATCATTAGGAGTAACAAAAGTTGGCCATTTGTTCAAACTTTAGTCTAAGATCCAATTGTCATTAAAACCATCAATGTCAACACCATTGACAACATTCCATCTAATAATTGTGCTAAGTGATTTACCTCCGTCAGCAAGGATTTTCCAAGAACAAGAACAAGTTCTCCTTGAAACGGTTCCATCCAGAATATTTCCATATTTAGGGTAGAGGATTTTATGTAGCAGTGATCCTTGTCTTCCATGTATCTCCATGCCAATTTAGCTCTCAATGGTCCTACAAAACTTGAACAAGAGTGAAGGTTTCTTCCACCACAAGCAATTGGTAAACACATAACATTCCATTTAACATAATGGATGCCATTTCTAGTATTGGATTTATTCCAGATAAAATTTCTGCATATTTTGTTAACTTCATCAAGCACACTCTTTGGAACTAAAGAGTTTGTACAATGAAAAATAGTAAAAGAAGAAAGGATAGTTTTAGACAACAAAATCTTTCCTGCCAAAGAAATGAGTTTTCCTCACCAAATGTTTGTCATTTCAATGCTTTGTCAATGATAAATTGAAAATCTTCTTTAGCTAGTCTTGTAGTAGCTAACTTTATTCCAAGATAAGTCAATTCCTTGGAAACTTTGAACCCCATGATACGGGTAATGGATTTCTTCAACCTTTTTTTAACCATTTTTCCAAAAATCATGCTAGATTTGTTGAAGTTGATGCTTAAACCTGTACATTCACATAATTTTTCCAGAATAGATTTTACTTCTTTGACTACTTTCCCTTTTGCTTCCAAAAAGATGATAATATCATCAGCATATAACAAATGAGAAAGTCTAAGACCATTGGAGCATAACTGAATTCCAATGCTATCTTCTCTGAGCTTCAAAGCCAAAGATAGAAGTTGAGCACAAAGAATAAAGATAAAGGGAGATAAAGGACAACCTTGTCTAAAGCCACTCTTCCCTTCTATCCAATTGGAAAGATTTCCATTGATAAGAATAGAAAATTTTGAGTCTTGGACACGCTCTAAAATTAGATTAGAGAAATTTGAAGGAAATCGAAAAAGTTACAGAATTTTCCTTAAGGCCGGCCACCCCATAGAATCAAAGGCTTGTTCTATATCAATTTTGAAAGCCATCAAACCTTTAGTAAAATGAAAATACCTGAGTTTATGCATCACCTCTTGAGCAATAAGCACTTGATCCGAAAGAGATCTACCTCTCAAAAAAACAGCTTGTTCTAATAAGATGAGTTTGGGAATGATAGAAGACATCCTGTTAAGTAAAACTTTTGCCACTACTTTATAAACCGAATTACATAAGCTAATCGGTCTAAAATTAGAAGGAACTAAAGGATTAGAGACTTTAGGGATAAGCACAATGATCGTTTCCTTCCAATAAGGATCCATATTTGAAGTTTCCAAAAAGGCATTTATAGCATTCCAAAAATCAATCTTAATGATATCCCAATAGGCTTTTAAAAAAGAGAAGGTAATACCATCATTACCTGGGGATATATTATTGCCACTGGATTTGATCACATCTTCAACTTCCTTGAATGTGAAGGCTTTGTCAAGAAAAAATCTGTCTTCTTCATCAAGTGATTTCTCTGGGTTGGGCCAATTGTCCAAATTGCATTCTCTAATTCTCCATTTATCTTTGAAGTAATTGAGCAACAAATTCTCAATACATTGCTGATCTTCCACAATAATTCCATCTTCATTTTTAATTTTTTCTATGAAATTAGAGTTCCTTCTAGCCGAAGCAAACGTTTGAAAAAACTTGGAAATACAATCTCCTTCCATCATCCACTTTACCTTAGCTCTTTGTCTCCACCATTTCTCCAATCTATCAAGAGTAGAATTGAGTTCCTCTACTTTGAATTTGAGTAACCAACCATCATCATCCGAAAGAAAACCATCATTTGCCTCCTTTAATTGTAAGTCTTCAATTTGTTTCAAAAGATCACCTTTCAATGTGATTAAGCATTTCATTTTTTCTTTACTCCAATAGAACAAAGCTTTTAATGACTTCCTCATCTTAGTATTCAGAATTTGAGCAAAGTTACCCTCACATTTTTTCTTACAAATGCCTTTAATTACTGCTGCCGAGGCCTTGTTTCAAGCCCAAATATCTTCAAATCTTAACACCTTCTTAGAAGCATGATGAACCATGAGATTAAGGAGGATTGGACAATGATCGAAAGCAACACGAGCCAAGTGCTTAACCACAAACCGATTTGAAGTGTTCAAAGCACAAGAGTTTAAGAGGCATCTATCAAGCCTTTCAAGAATTTGATCAACACCATTTTGAGTATTACACCAAGTGAACTTAGGCCCCACATATCCAATTTCATGAAAATCATGATTAGATGAAAAATTCTTCATTTCTTTAGGTCCTAGGGAAAATTTAAATCTTTTCCCTCCTTTTATATCTTCTTTAGAGAGAATGCAATTAAAGTCACGTCCAATCACCATATTCAATTCCTTTGAAGAATAGTTTCCCAAGCATTCCCAAATACTTCTTCTTTTGTAGACATCCTTGCTACCATAGATAGTTGTAAGTCTTCATTTTCCTTTGTTAGGGACCTCCAAATCTCCAATAATGAGTTGAGAAGAAGCTTCAATCAATTGAAAATCAGCAATACTAGATTTCCACAAAACTAGAATACCTCCAGAAAAGCCTTCTGAAAGAACCTGAGAAAAATTCCATTCACTACCAATAAGAATATCAATATCTTTCCTATCAAAATAGGAAATTTTAGTCTCTAGAAGACCAATGAAAAAAAAACACCATGCTCCTTAACCACCTCCTTTAAGTATAGAGAAGCTCTCCTCTTTCTAGCTTCTCTACAATTCCAAAATAAAATAGAGGAATTCATAGATTAAGAGGGGAAATTGTCCCCGCCTTAAAGTTCACCTTGACTTT